GTAAGAATGAAATCTAACGAAAGAAATAAGAATATATTATCACCGTTGGATGTAGCAATCTTGATCTAGTTACAAAGATATTTACCATGGCCAAATTGGTATTTTTCGATTCTACTTGTTTCTCTCTGTCAAATCTTCCGATCAATTCCGCAATATCAGCGCTAAATCTCCCCTCATTTTTTTCTACCTATCCAAATTTCTTGCACACGATCCTCTTTCCAACTAAATTGTAGATGGGATAAACTTAATTTATCATTGTTGGAGACTCAATCATCCCTTTAGAGAAGCTCTTGATATTCGTCAATTTCTTGTGTTCAATTTTTCATTCTTTCAGAATATATTTTTATGACTCCGATATGATCTTAGTTTAGTTGTTTGCTTTTAGTTTGCGATGCAAAGCACCTATGTGCAATATCTCATTCCAATCTATGCTTATGTTTTTATTTACTTATTGAGTATTAGTTTTATCAATGTTTTTATTCAAATTAGGGTTCATATACAGACATGAAAATGCCAAGTATAGTTCATTGTTGGTTCATTATCTCCACACTCATGTTCTTATTCACCTTTTTAGGATGTTCCGATTCACTTATTAATACTTTATTTTTGCTGAATTTGTATTCCCTGTTGCTCTAACGTTTATTCCCTTTGGTTTTGTATCAATATAATGCATTCAATCATGTTTTTACAGCTCCCATTATCCACTTTCATTTTTCCAATTTCTAGCAAATGTTATGTAATCACATGAAGTCTTTATAATGCACTATGTGTATGAATTCATTAAGTAGACGCTAATTAGCCAAGAATTCATCAATGGACTATGGCACAAGATTTTTAATCAACTTGTGTGGTTACTAATTTTTTATTTCTATGTTTTTCTTTTTTTAACAAGGTGAAGATATCTTCTAGTCAGATCCCAAACATGGGTCATGGATTAAGAGCAACTGTCTCAACAACTAATCTCCATCTTCATTAGAAATAAGGCTTCATTTTCCATCTCTATTGTATTCTAGATTGCCCTGATGAGATTTTACCAAAGGTGGGATGTATTTCAACATTTTGGACCAATATGTATGCCTTCTTATGTAATTGCTCCATTCAACCAGCAATGAACATGGTTAACATTGGGTTTTTAGAGTTGTAATTCTGATTCAGTTTCAAAGAAGGGATATGTAAACTTTTCATAGTTATGGAGATTTTTCAGAGCTATAAATCTGATTGAGCTTATTGTAATGCATCTTGTGGTTATTTTAATGCGTTATGTGGTTAATGTAATGCATATTGGGTTTAAAGTTCTAAAAGATGTGGCAATTTATATTTTTAGAGCTGTAATCCTGATTTGGTATCCAAGTTGGGACAATTTGATTTTTTCAGAATTATGGATATTTTTAAGAGCTATAAATCTGATTTAGCTTATTGTAATGCATCTTACGGTTATTGTATTGCATTATGTGGTTAATGTAATGCATATTGGGTTTAAAGGTTCAGTTTTATCTACAAGAATTATGTATCTAATTCATCTAATTGCATCTTTAAAGTTCTAGAGTTTTTCTTCTTTTTTTTTGATACGTTGTTTTTCTAAAGCATCTTTTTTTTAAATTTTTTTTTTATAGAAAGATGTGGGCATCTATTCTATTTTTTCTTTTCGCAATTTTAATCGTTTTTTTGTTTGTGAACTTGCATGATGTAACTAATTTTTTTGTTTGATGCATTTTGTTTTCGTACGTATTTATTTGTGTGTCCATCTTGTTGGTTTTTCCCATTTCCTTTTTTATGGTGTATATTGCTAAATTTATTTACTTTCTTTTTCTTTACCTTTTTGTTTGTTTTTTTCTATTACCATGCATTATCAGGATATAGGTAATGCATTACAATAAGAAAATGATGCATTCTCTTAATCAAGGTATTACTATACAGACTCAAAATTAAAGTTGATGCATGTAATGATGAAATTCTTCACACAAATATGATGCATTTGTATATTTTAGATGGTAAATTTTCTACAAACTATGAAGCATTTATAATGTCTTGTGATACATATGAATATAGGTTACATAGAGACCCTTGGATTATGCATATTATAAACGGGGGTAATCTTACACCAACTCAATGGGTGTAAGATTGTTACACCAATTCAATTATAGCATCTACGCCGCTTTAATCGTAAAAATGATTGTTTCTATTTCCCCTAAACCCCTGGTGAACCCCAAGCTCACCTCATCCTCAACGCACCCCTACACCTCGAATAATTTTGTAGGGGCCTATCCGTAGGCCCTCCAAAAAAAAGAAAACAAAAATGAAAAGAAAGTCAGGCTAACAATATATGTAACTTAAACGGGATGGTGGGAGCCACAAACAACAGCGTCGTCGACGAATGACCATGGCAGCAGCAGACCTACTTCTGGCGGTAGCGACGGCCGATCTACTTTTGCCATGGGTTAGGGTTTTTAGATATGTGATTTTTACGCCCTTCACTCTAGTCTACATTTTTTTTGCTATATGTTAATGCCATTAACCCCTTATACTTCCAAATCAAACAGACAAAAAAAGAGATGCTTGAAAAGAGATGCTTGATATTTCTGCATAAACTTAGGTTTGATTGTTGTTAATGATTGATATCTTTTTAACTTCTTTAATTTGATTGTTCTCAAGAGGTTAAGTCTTAAAGTATGTCCAAGGTCAAGCATTATACACACATAAAAGAACATATCACATCATTAAATGAATATAGTGAAGAACAAATATAAATGATCAAAAGGAATTACTTGGTGAAGCTAGAAGTTCTCTCATACATGCCACGGCCGACATAGTAATGTTCCTTCAATCATATATGGAAAAAATTGTTATTCATTGGTTATATAAAGATTAAGATCTTACTATCTTAGTCCTTCAATAATCTAAGACAATATAACAACCTGGTGCATCCATTTGACAAACCGGATTAGGAGCCACTGATCACATTGATTCGTCAACCGATGGCACGTTGGAATTTGGAGCAGGAAGCTAAGAAACAAGTGGACACCGGCATATACGGAAAGAGCAATGACATAAATCTTGAAGAATATTAAATCTCCATTTGGCTTGGTCTTCTCGACAAGGCCTTTCATGGATTTATAAGTAAATTAAAAGTTGAAAAGAAAATGCACATGATGATGTTAGAAGAAAAAATGAAAATAAAAAAAAAACTCGCCAAATGCACGAGTTTAAACAAAACAAAAAAGGCAAAAAAACATAAAGGGAACAAGTAAAACATACACATAAAGGAAACACCTGAATACAGAAGCTGCGCTGAACCAAAGAAAAGGCACCATACATCATAATGACATACAATACACCAATGCGTGAACAAACAAGGAGCAGCTCAGTGACAACATTACTACTTCAGAACCAACAGCATTCAAATATATAAATGACATACTAAACATTCTCAAAGCACATGTGCATCTCTTATGTGTGCGTGCACCAAACATCTCCAAAGCATAAAAGGATTATTATACTATGGTCTATGTGAGATTTCAATGTCAAAAGAATCATACTTTCCAAAAGTTTCATCACAAAATAAGTAGGCCCAAGACTCAGAATTTCTCGTAAGGTCTTTGAGTTAAATTTCCCATCATTGAAAGCAATAATAGTGAGTCCCTCCAAAAAAGGATAGATGTAAGGAAATTATATCCAAATAAAAAGGGATGTCATCTAGTAGGATTCATCTCAATGGTGGTTTGTGAATGTCAACAAGAAAAATGAAATGGCAGTCAAGGGGTGTGAAGGGGTGTGAAAGCAAAAGAGTGAAAAACAAATAAACAGTAGTGTGCTTGATGTTATAATTTACACACCTGAAACATCATCACAAAAAATATCCTTAGTCGGTGAAAACTATGATAAAGATGTAAGAGAGTTCGATGCTCAACAAAAGAAGTCTTTCCCTGCCGTTTGCTGCTTCCACTAGATTTAAGAATGTTCTATAACAAAGAGCAAGTTTGGGGTGGAGTCAATTTGAATTACATATACACTGTATAATGGTGCATGCAGAGTTGAAATCAAAAACATATGACATCATGTATGAGATATGCCACAGAATAATTCAAATCATGTCTATCATTAAATTTGAAACTAATAATATAGTCCCAATATGCTAAAATGATTTCACATTTGACTTTTCGTAACCAACGCAACACCTTGACCAATAACTATATTAATAAATATATACTCCATCCATCCTGGATTAATTGTCCCATTACGGATAACAAAACTTGATTGAGTTTGTTTTCAATCCAGTTGATTTAAATAATGATACAAAAATTCAAAAAAAACTATATTTTAAAAACTACATCGAATTTTCTTTTAAAATGAAAAAGGAGATGAGTAGGTGACATGACGATATTATTTTAAGAGATGATTAATGAAAATAAGTAAAGAAAGAAGAAAAAAAGTTGACTTGTAAGTAATGAAGTGAGTTGATTAATTCAGGGCGGAGGAAGTACTATAAATAATTGGCATTTCCAATCTACAACTCAAAATGAATCCAGTGTTTTAAATTACGTTAGAAAAATATTTAAGTTTTCCTCAAATCAGAACCAAAATTTGCAATATTGGACCCAAAAAGTCAAACTTAAAGACCATTTTGGGATGGTGGAAAATTACATTGTCAGCAGCAAAAAACCCCAAACCAGATCCAGATATAATATTGCATGCAAGAGCTAAATTTGAAATCTCTAAATTACAACGATATTAATATACTCCATCCGTCCCATAAAATTCTCGAGAGTTTGACTTCAAAGAATTTAAGAAAGTTGTTGAAAAGTAAAAAATGTGTGGTTAGAATTTGTTCAGAGGAGAGGGAATTGTGGGTAGCTACATATTCATTACAACTATAGAAAATAAAGTAACTAATCATTTTTATGAAAGGTCCGAAAATTAAAAGAATAAAGTATGATAACATCCAACCAACTAACCAAGCCTTAATTCTGAATCCATGGGGTTGGCAACTTGAGCCAAATGAAAATCTTGTACAAAGTTCTATTTCTACTTTCTTTTATGTCATTATATCTAAGATTAACCAAAAATATAGATACATATTTAGATGTCGAGAACTTTAACAAGGACTAGAAAGAGAAGTGCTTGGATAAAAAATGTCCCATTAATTTGGAAGCTGATTTCATAGTTATGAATGGCGAGTGGCGAGTGGCGAGTGGCGGGCGAGGGGCTGTTTTTTTGGCGAGTGGTGGGCGGTCAAATGGTGAACCAAAAAAAGCGAATATATATATATATATATAATTATTAAATACAATTAATATCTATTAAATGAAAATACACAATCATCGTCTTCCTGAATCGTTCATCATCGTCTTCTCAATCATACGACCTGATCGATTCATTTAGGTGTGTATTTTCCTTTTACCTCTTGAAATTAGATTGGTTTTGTGGCGAAGTGCTTTAATATATGACTATATGAGAGGGTAAATTTCTATACTATATTGTAGAATTTGATCCTAGTGATTGTTATCTGATCTGGAAACCTGTGCGTGTTACTGTTGTTCCTAAATCTGTGGATTCATATTCTTCTATATTCAAAACCCAGTATTGAACTGTTGTTTGGTTAAACTTTATCAATATTAGTAATTCTTAACATATATTTATAATTTAGTATTGGGTTTCACTTTTTATCCTAGTGATTGTTATCTGGAAACCTGTGCCTATTATTGTTGTTTTTGTGCAAAGCCTTCTATATATGCAAGGATAAAACAAGATTCAGTGTCTGAATCGATGTTTTTATGCTTGTATATTTGAATAGCAGTATGTGTTAAACTATATATTGAATGTTGAAGTAGTGATTGTGTGAACTATTGCTGGTTATATTTTAGTTTTTTCATTTCAATTTTGTAAAGTAATCTTCAAAAATTATTTAATATTGTGTGGTTGATTTTGTTACGGGCGTGGAAGCTCTTCAAAAAGAAGAAGAGAGG